CGCCTATGAATCCTGACTTAGGAACTGGCAAGATCATCATTCTTATACCACCAGAGATACAGGCAAAGAAAGTACCTTCTTTCGGTTTTTTTGTTATTATGAAAAACAAGATATAAATTTCACGAGGTGCTAGTAGGCTAAAATAACATTAGAGAATAGTTTCCAAGAAAACTATTTTTCCATAGGGGAAAAACCTTAAAGACCAAAAAATAATGTAAATTACCACTTACACATTTCTCCCCAGGATTCCTGGACGGCAAGTCTACTACACTGGGGAAAGTTTTTTCCTAACAATTGGACCTATGCCAAGAGAGACAAGTCAACATTTTTAGTTTTCTGCTTCACCAAAATTCTTTATTTTATCGATTTCAACCTACATGTATCACTTCAAGATGGAGAGACTTCACAAAAAGTTATATCTCAAGTGTGTCACTAAACAATATGAAAACACAACCTCTTGACTAGCATTGACCTCTCTGCTCAGAAAACTTAAGTCTGTATTCTGCAAATTCTCAGATAATTCAGCTATAGGTTTTAAAATAGCAGGCTGTATCATTGATTTGTTGTACAAATATTATAAAGCAACCGATATTTGGGGAAGCAGGTAAGACATGTATTCTTTCATAATGCCACTTTAACTTTAATCTTCTGATAACATAAGAGCACAGAGCAATATGTACATGCACAAATTTAGAACATTTGTATATGTATTGAAAACTTTCTACAAGCTATTTCTGTTATTTAAAAATAAGAACATATAAAAGTTCATTTTCACTTTCTTAACGAAAATTTGACTAAGGCATTTTACACTATTGCGTATGTTAACAAATTGCATAAATGATAAGAACCCCAATTTTTAATTTTAGTTTTCATTATATACTGTCAATAAATAGAGTGGTCAATGATCCAACCCACTGTTTTTCATTATGTTCTTTTTGTTTTCACTGTTATCATTTATTTATACAAGGTTAATCATAATACCCATTCAATAAAACCTACGTATAGACATAATTTTTTATTATTTAAGCAAATCAAAAACATATTTTAAAAAACCTTAAGTATTGCTAAGTACTAAGGACAGATGAGAGTTTCAAGATCTTTAGATACCTGGCCAATTCGTAAATTGTCAGTAAAATGTAAAAATAGGTCTGAAAAGATACCATGCTCATAATTAAGAAAAAATAGCAGAAAGAAAACGGTTTTGATGTAAGCAAGACGATTTCCTGAACAATAAATAGATTACTTTTGACAAGCGTAATCACCCACCCAGTCACGTATTTTGTTCTCATTGGCTCTAAATATACAGGCCTAAGGAGGCACAGATCGTTGCATTGGCCCTTAGTGTTGTATAAGCTTCCTGGTCTTACTAAGACAATAAGACATATGTTAAAACTTCCCCTAGATTCAGAGGACTCACAGATCTCCGACCACTAATGAGAACTATCCCCTGGTGGTTACAAAATAGTCTAATATTTAAGTTCACTTTAAGTCAGATATTTAAGTTCACTTTCAAAAATATTTTTATTCCAGGTTGTTCTCCCAAATGACCTACCTTGGTTTCATTTTTAACATAAATACATATATATACAGTTTCTCTACTCAGCAGAAAGATTTACACAGTTTAAAGAAAGCAGTCATAATCACTTGGGAAATTAAATTTATGTGTATATACAAGCAGTCAAGCTATATCTGTCCCTATTGCTACTGCTTTAATATAGCTTTTATTAATAGTAATTTTCTACCATGATGGTGGGGAAATCCCTACAGCATTTTTTTACATTTTCATAATAACACTACGATGTCAGCAATTTTATTAAATAGTTATGAGGCTGTCAGAAAAAACAAGTGCCATATATCACAAGTGTTTGATAAACATTTTTACATTATCAATACATTCCAATATTATATGACAGACTAAAAATTTAGATTGACTTGCAAGAATACAATTGATGTACAAATCTTGCCTAGTTTATAGTAGCTATTCACCATCAGTAATTTTAACACTTTTTGGAAGCAGTTTCTGACTAGTATAAAAACCACAATGCTTTGAAAACTAAAAGCACAGAGCATACAACAATAATTTGTTTGAATAATAGATACCTAATTTAACAGCAAATTATTTTGCATTCCAGTGAATATAAAACCAAGAAATACTTGCTCTTAGCTTGTTTAGTGAGCAAAGAAAAAGCAAAAGACAGGAAAGAATTTAAATAACTGTGAAGGAAATGTCATTTACACAAACTTCAAATATAAAACAAACAAGCCATCAGATTCCATCTTGACTTCTAAAACACTAAACAGTTTCTATTTCAAAGAGTTCATTTTTCAGAGAAGAGCCTCTTTTCAGACAGATACTATTCAGGAGTTAAACTCAGAGTGTGAGAGAAAGAAAATGAAATTTCAGTGAAGACTATTAGCAAGACCCTAAAGCTAAGGTGTTGCATGTACAGTTTCTACACTAGTAAGGAACTTGTAGGAGACAACACTTCAGCTAAAGCATATGAGAGCTAGAACCTGCTCCCCTGGGTATGATATCACAAAATGACTTTGCTATATTCCCTCTCCAGTTGCCACGCCCCCAGGGCAGATTCATGTCTTCCGATAAGAACATTCTGCTCCATCACTCTCTCTCAGATCTTTAACCAGAAGTATGTAGAAGCAGCTCAACCAGGACAAATCCGCCCCTATTCTCTGTGTATTTTTTCCAATTGTTTGTGTTCCATTGCCTGGTAGGTTCTGAATGATAATGTTAACTGAGAGCACATAACTGAATGAATTCACAAATTTTTACACACATTTACACCCAATGCACCAAGTATAGATATTGAGCTGACATTAAATAAAATAGCTCATACTGTTTACTTTTATCCTACAATATTACAATGACTACTATAGTCATAAAAACGGAAGAGAAACTTTTAGCAGGATTTCAGTTAGTCCTTACCTAACCTTAATCAGTTAAAGTTTCATGCAATATTCTACTTTAAACTACATCAAGCACAAATCATCAAACACACAAAACTACACAAACCTAGACCCGTAACTTCTTGATTTCTTAATCTACTCAATTACACCCAGGGAGATTTCCAGTGCATTAAAAACCTGCTTTGCTTAGTATACCACAACTTAAAACTATGTAGTTCCTTTGATTTTCATTAAGCTCTTCCACTTAGATACGCAAAAATAAAATAGTATTCTTCCATACAACATAAATTTTACATTTCCAAACATCTTCTGGACACTTACAAGAACTTTACCCCTGAAGTCTGATATTTATTTCTAGTTAAAAGGCTTAGCTAGCACGATTCCTAATCTTAGCAATCACCTCCAATCCTAGGCATCACTGCCAACTATAATGCCGTTTATATTAACTCCCCACCATGTGTAGTAAATCATGCACAAATCATGATTTGGGGTAGACAAAATCCTTTCTGAATTCCATTTAATAAGATGTGAAAACTGGACAATGGTTTGGCTTAAAAGGTTTTGTTTCAGACTCTTTAATAGAATAATATATGCTGCAGCATAATGGTGTTGAGCTTTTATGTTCCCTAATAAGCCAGCTCCCAGCAGAGCCTTTCCCATGTTTTACAATGTGACATGCAGCAGCCAGACCGGGGAATCCCCAGTCAGCTTTCTTCAGCACCACTGTCTGAGAACAGCTTCTGTCCACAGAGTGGTGCAATCTTAACAGGTCTCTGGCACAGAAAGTGCACTGTTAAAATAAGGAAATGGTGGATGAGCAATGTTCTTTCCTGTCATTAAAACCAAACTGTTACATATCAATTAAGTGCAGGATATAAGCACAAATGCCAAGCAGAAATTTAAGTTATTGGCCAACACTGGATACAAATTTTTAACAACTAACACACTTTGCAGACAGGCTGAGCAGGGCATGGTGGTGAGTTTTATAAAAACTCAATTAACCCAACCATCTATTAGACAGATACATAAAGACCCAGGGAAAAAGCTATTAAGCATGTTAGAATTTGTGATGTGTAATCATGTTAATTTATGGTTTCAGAAGAAACCCTGCTATGTCTTAGTGATTATTTGGGTAATCAGGAAATTACACAGATATTTAGAGCCTAGAAATTATTTTATAAATGGCATAAATGTAATACAACCTGAGAAATGTAATTCGATTACCAGTTAATCTCTCGGACCTGATAATATTAAGAAGACCTTGGAATAATACCTTCCTGCGGTAAAATCGGAAAAAAATCCGTAAATCTGTTAGTGCTCAACTTAATCTTCTGAAATTCTTCTTCAGGGCCTACATGGGAAGCGCCGAAATTAGGATCTGTTCTGACTCACTGAGGTGCCAAAACATCCTCCAAATCAAAATATGATGAAAACAAAGACTCCTGAGACAACTTCACCTTAAAAGACCAACTCCAGGCTCATATGCACAAGGTACAGACTGCTCCTATCTGTTGGACACTAAGTTCGCCAAAAACTCTGCCGCATCTACAGAGGATGCTCAGCGCGCGGTCCTCTGCGGGGCAGGACTCTGCAGACACGACCCTGCCCGCCCGGGCTCCGGGGCCGGGGCCAGGGCGCCAGGGGCAGGGAGGGCTCGCCTCCTGCACACTCGCCCTCACTCCTGCAAGGGAGAAGCCCACCGGGCGACCCTCCAGCAGCGGCTCGCACCAAAGCCAAGTTCCACCACGCACTCGCCAGACCGCAGCCGGCCCGCTTCCACTGCGCTTGGAAAACGACGCCCCACGGGACGAAAAAGTTTGAGGCGGCCCCCGCCGGGGACCGAACTTGGGCTCTCCGCCGCGGCCGAGCCCCGCAAAGAGGACGCCTCCCAGGAAGGCGCCGCCGGCCAACTCCCACGCGCGCTCGGAGTCGCCCGCCCGCCCGAAACTAGGAACTCCGCGGGCCGCGTGGGCTCCCGGCGGCCGCGGCTGCCCCGGGGGCCCGGGGCCCGCCGCGCCCGGCCCGCGCCCTCCCCGCCCCGCCGGCGGCGCGCGCCCTCGGGGGCGAGAACTTACCGCACCGCTTGCACAGCACCCGGCCCACCTCCTTCTTGAGGTTCCGGCCGGTCTCGAGCGGAGGGAAGGAGGCTCGGAAGGCGGCCGGCGCCCGGCTGCTGCTGTTGTCCTCGGGCTCCATGAAGAAGATGTACCTGCTGTCCTCCTTGAGCCTCCCGCAGGCGGGGAGCGCGGGGTGGCCCCAGGCGCCCAGGCGCACGGTGAGCAGCGAGTCCTTCCTCAAGCCCCCGGCTTTGGCCGCCCACACCTGGTGCACCTTCACCAGATAGGGCGCCGGCCCGGGGGCGCCGGCGCTGGGCGCGGGCGCCGAGGGCCCAGAGGGCAGGGTCCCGCGGGCGGCGGGCGGTCCCCGCGCTCCCGGGCTGGCGGCGGGCGGTTCGCGCTCGCCTCCCCGCGCGCCGGCCTCGCCCGCCGCCTTCCTGTCGAGTGCCCCCTGCTGCCGCCGCGGCGGGTGCACCTTTCCCTCGATCACCACCGCGGCGCGCCGAGCCAGCTCCTGCACCGAGCCCACGCTGGGCGGGGACGAGTAGCACCCCGAGGCCCCCGCGGGAGCCGCCTCGTCGCCGGCGGCCGCCCCCGGCGCCAGGGCCGCGCTCCACAGCAGCAGCAGCGGCAGCAGCGCGGGCGGCCGGCGGCCGGCGGGGCCGGGGCGGCGCGGGGCGCGTCGCCATCTCATGGTGTGAGGCGCGTGCGGGCTCCGCGCTGTCGGTTCGGACTGTGCCGGGCGCTCTCGCGCCGCCGCCCCTTTCCTCTCTCCTCCTCCCCCCGGCACCCTCGTCTCCCCACCCCCTGGTATTTATTTCTTTGAGGGGGGGTGTGGGAGAGTTGTTTGTGGGAGGAGGAGGAGGTGGAGGAGGAGGGAGGGAGGAGGGGAGAGGTGGGTGGAACCACGGAAAGGTGACGAGGTATGAGGGCAAAAAAAAAATTTTTTTTTGAGGTAAAATAGAAAAGGGGGGCAAGCCGCTGCCACCGCCTGGGCGGCTGGGAGTGGCAGGTCCCCTCGGCGCGCCGCCGCGCCCGAGCGCTGCTGTCGGGGCTGCCGTCACCGGAGGAGGACGTGGAGGTGGCGGCGCTGCTCGGCGGGTGACAGTCCTTTGTGTGGAGGGGCGCTGCGGCGGCGGCTGCTGAGGCGGCGAGCGAGCGGCGGGGCGAGAGCGCCGGGGAGAGCGCCCTGGAGGCGGGGTTGCGTGCCTGGAAATCGCGGGGTGGCCGCGGCGGCGGCAGCGCCCTGCGCCTCGCCAGCCTGTTTACCTGCGATGCGAACTCGCCCCGCGCCGCCGCTCCCCATGCTGGTCCCCGGGCGCGGCCGCGAGTTTGTCCTCCTCGCGCTTCCCGGGCCTGGCGCCTCCTCGCCGCGGTCGCCGGGCTGCCGCGAGGGGACGCCGGGCGGCGGAGAGGCTGCGGGCCGAGTGGGCTGCGGAGATTTACTGGGGAGCCCGAGGTGACGCTTCAGCGATCGGGAACCTGTTAGCCGACGCAGGGCGCCCAATCGCGGGGAAGGGGAGGGGGGGCTGACACGAAGGGGGGACGCGGGAGGTGCTGCTGGCCCTCCTTTCGGAAAAGTTTTGGGGGAACCGGTGACTTGAGAGTCCAAAGGGAGCAACATGTTCACGGGAGACAAGCGCCAATTAAAGCAACTTTGTGTCGCGCTCGCTCTCCTTGAAACGCGCGCGCACGGTGAACGCTTCGGGGATGACGCCTCGTCCCCTCCATGCTGGGGTCACACTTCCACCTTGCTCACCCCTGCCGTTTCTCCCGTTGAAATTCGCGGTTTTAGGACGTGGGGGGCACTGCTGGGATTAGCATACTTGGAATTAAATAGTTGCTCGATAAGGTCATTTGGTACAAAGTTTATGGCGCTTCGTAACTCATCAGTTTTGTTAGAAAATAACGGAAAGAATGTTCCCCGCTCTGGCTCTGGTGAATTCTCTCACCCTCCCGCGCTTCTGACTGTACCCAGTGCTTGTATAAATAAAATAAATCTTTAAAAAAGAAAAGAAAAGAACGTAAAGAAAATTTTGGTGATTGCCGGAACAAAAGACCCCAGATGTGAGGAACTTGAGGTTAAATATTGTGCCATGCGAATGCCACATACCCGGCCTAACTCCATTCTACCTCCTAAACCTTCTCCCACCCCTCCTAGCCCCCAAATGTAAGTAGTTACTTCAAAAACCTGAATCAGTCATCTCCCAGGGATGCTCTTTGCAAGCAAGTACCATTCAATAGAAAAACAGTGCACATCTTTAGCATTTATGGGTAAATATTTCCTCTTACACTCTTTTATGATGAAAGATATATTCAATGGCATAATAAAGCTGAGTGGAAGTTGCTGTTCAATGGGATTCACTTTGTGAAATTTAACATTTTTAAAGCACTCTAACTTCAGACTCTCCTTTATTCTGCCGGTTCTACAAGTTGCCCCTAGCACTTTAGGCATTTATTTTACAAAAAAAATTATAAGCCACAAAGATATTTTTAAATTGGTATAATGTAGTTGTCTTAAAAAAACAAGGTCTCACTCTTAAAGGTCAGCTTGGAAGGATGGATCCTAATGCTCAATGCAGAGGGATTCCTATTTGCTAAGCACTGATAGAGTGCTTCAGAGATGCCCACATGGCAAAATAGTGGGCAGATCTAGCCTGCAGTCTGTGGCCCCTCAACCCAGGTGCTCTTAGCTATTTACTGAAAAAGGTGGTCAGATATCCATTCCTACTGGTCTCTTCTTTGTTCTGTCTTCACACATTTCTGACTCTGGATCTTTTGGGAGGCACAACTGTAGCCTAGAACAGTTTTGCCTGTGACTTTCAGAACTTCTATCAGTTACCTACTTCTGTATGACCAACCACTGCAAAATTTGTTGGCCTATAACAATATCCATTCATCTAGCCAGGATTCTGTGGGTTGGCAGTTTGGATTGGGCTCAGCTGCAGGGGGAGAAGGTGGGAGGCAGTTCTGCTCTCAGCTGGGCTCACTGATGGCTCTGTTGGGGCTGATTAGTCTCGGATCTCAGATGGCCTCAGCTGAGACAAATTTGCTCTTGAAGAAGGTGGTCACTTCTTCACAGGTTCAGCCTGGGCTGGGTCACAACAGCTAGTTATGCTCCAAGAGAGTCGCCAGAAGCACCAGACATCACTTGAAACCTAGCTGCAGAACTGGCAACTCCTTGCTGTCACCATTACGAAAGCAGTACAAATTCCAAGAGTGTAGTAAATTTTCTTAAATGTGAGACATTGAAAAGTTGCATGGCAAAGGGGCAGAGTTGAGGGAGGGGCATGAATTGAGGCTATTTCTGCAAACAACCTACCATAGATAATGAGGTCCACTTGAGGTCCACTTGTCCACTTACTCCTTGAGGTCCACTTGTCCCTGAAATCTCCTTTCTTAAACACTGGACACTCAGTGACCACTCCCCAGAGTACACGCCCCTTGCACTGCAGTATGTATCATGCCTCCTCACTTTTGAGCAAGTCGTTTTATTAAGCCCAAATATTTCCATTTTACTCCATCTCTCCATCTAGATTTTAAACTTATTAAAAAGCAGGCACAGTATTTTCAGTATTCTCCTATTTGAACCCAGTTTGGAGCACATATTAACCAATCAGTAAATACAAGCTGATCAATCATGAACTAATGTGCTTACCACAGGTGACCCCAATACTGTCCCAACACTGTCAGAGAAAAATGAAATTCCAAGCAATTAAAAACAGAATTTTAAAGCACTGGCTTTAAACTAGCCATAGTTTAAAGTCATAAAATGCATAGCCATCCTCTCTTCGTACTTTACAAAGCGTTTTATCTATGATTAAACATCATAAGCTGTTTATGTTTGTATCTTTTAAATGCCTCATCTTCAATGTATATTTTAATGTCTTTACCTTACATTTTCTCCTACTCCTCTCAGGTAAATAGTGTTAAGAGGTAATTTTTTTATTTATTTATATTTATTTAATTTTATTTTTTAATATATTTTTACATCATTTTTCATTTTTGCACAACGTATGCATTTTCATCTTGGTTATAGTCCCCTTACAATTCCCAGCACCTTTGTTTTGATCCTATTCCCTATCCCGCCCCCACCACCACCACCCCCAATTCTGTTCATAGTTGCTTGTTGATTTTTATTTTTACTTTATTATAATTAGCCTTTTTCCTGGTCCCTTATTTAGGTTTTCTAAATTCCTGCTGTGAGTGAGCCAATCCGGTATGTAATTTTGATGGATATTGCCTGTGCAGAGGTAGGCCTTGTTAGAACTGTTCAGTACCAAGAACTGTTTGCACATGTGTTTTACTTCAGTTCCTATACTGGATCCTCATTTTTGAGGGTACCCATACATTGGGTGAATGACATTTCTAGTATAATTAACAAATACTTGACAAAAAGGTATGAATAATTTTTTTTAAATAATTGTTTCAGTATAATTCTAGTCAGAAAAGGGAGAGCTTACATTTGTCCACATCACTATTTTAAAAAGACAGAAAGGAAAAGGCTCAATCTTGTTGACTTTTTAAAACCAGGTGTAGGGTAAGGAAAAAATGTCAGAATTTTCTGCCCTCCTGCCATCAGGATAGATGATGGATCCTTGCAGTCCTAAATGCATGCCTGATGGCGGACATCGGAATAGGGTGTGAGCATAGGTAGATGGGATTCACCTGCGCTAAGACTGTGCTTTTTAAAGGCGGTATCACGGGGACACCAGTAGAAGCTGAAAGAGAAGCCGAGAAGCAGCCAAGAATGAACGGAAGCCGAGAGAAGAAGAACAGAAGCAGAGAGAATACCAGAGAGCCCAGATAGAGTGAAGACTTGCTGGGGACTGGGAGGACTGCCAGACTCCCGGCCCCCCAGCACCCCTGCCTACTGTATGCCTGGTGAACCCCAATAAAAAACCTGCAAAAACCACTGAGGACTCTGACTCCTCCTTTACCCGGTCTGCTGGATCACAAAACCTGCACTGTGGTCCCTTCCTGACCCTACACCAGGGTTCTTAAATTTTTTTTTTAGGGTTCTTAAATTTTAATGTGTATCAAGATCAATTCTGCATCAAGACACACAGATGCTGGTCCCATCCCAGGTTTCTGAGGCATAATTTGTATTTCTAACAAGTGCCCAGGTGATACTGATGTACCTGCTGGTGGAGAGAGCACACTCTGAGAACCATTGCCAGAATCTTCAGATAGGAACTGATATCCACAGCATAGTAAAGCTGTAAACACATGTAAACATACATACACATTGTGTGCAGATATTCACTGTCCATCCCAATTTTGAAAAGGAAATATGGATTTGTTATTAGAGGCTGCTATTCAGCAAACTTGGTCTAACTAGTTAAGGAGGTACAGATGACCATCTATTGATATTAAAATCATGTGCTTCCTTGAAGTCTTAATTCTCCTCAGTGGTGAGTTGATAATCAAAAGGAAAACTATGGATGAGCAGACCTTGTCATGTTACCTCAGAACATTTAATTTGCTCAAGAGCTATTGGAGAAAGTCCCTTAGGGATAATGACTACCAGTTACCAAGAGCTGGACCTGAGTAATCAAGGGCCCCTTATCCCTTCTTCTCTCCTGGGAATGTATATTTGGCCCACACTTCCCATACAGAAGTCCTTCAAGGACATAGCCTTGAGACAGTCATGTATTATTCACTATCATCTGGACTGTATAAGCCCATTATGGC